CAGGATGAAGGACCCAGAGGAGGTTGAAGACCACAAGTTCCTTTTGCTAAAGCTTGGAGTCATTTTTTCTGTTATGACCTCAGTGGGGAGGGAAGGCAGATTGTTACTGTTCTGTAAACCAAGGGCTGGGAAACTTTTTTTCTGTGAAGGGCCAGATAGTAAATATTTTAGGCTTTCCCTATTGCATAGTGTTTGTTTTTACAACCCTTAAAAAACATAAAAACAATTCATAGCTCTCAGGAAGGACAAAAATAGGCCAAGGGCCCAAATTGGCCTGAGGACCATAGTTTGGTGAACTTTGCTCTAAATAGTTGACACATTCTTGAACTGAGAAGAAATCACAAGCAATCTGTTAGAGATAATGAAGTTACTTCTACTGTTCTAAGGCTATTTTCTTGCAAGAGACTTGGTAAATCATTTTGAAAGGGGTGTGTGAAAGACTCATTTTCTTTCTACCTGTGTGAAATAGAAGTTATATTTTTATTGCAAGACGAGAAATTTAAGCAAAAACATCTCTGCCCTTTGGCCTCCTCTCTCCCCTCAGTGTGCATTGTGTATCTGCATCATGCATCAACCAAACCTCCCCCATTGCTCAACTGTAAAGGGCAACATTCTCCCAGTATCAACAAGATACTCCTTAAAAGACAGCATTCTTTCTTGGTCTTGTAAGAAGTCACATGACCCACACGATGCCGCTTAGATCTGGATTATGTAAACTGTCAATAATATGTCATTTGATGTACAGCCCTCTGTCTCAAAAAACTTATATAACTGTGCCTCGACTTCTAACAGGTAGAACAGTTCTCAGAGCTTTCTGAGATGCTCTTCCCAGGTGATAATCCTCAAATTTGACTAGCATAAAATTTCCCATTTCTTTTTTGGATCGACTGATTAATTTTTCATCGACATGAGTGAAAAAGAAAAGGGACAAGTGGGCAAGCAAGGTACGATTAAATAGGCTTTGAAAAGAGCTAAGGCAGGTGCCCTCAAGTGAAAGGAGAATTAGGGGAAGTTATATGATGCCTTATTTGTGTCATTGATTTGCTCAATACATCTTTATTTCTTTGGGGAATTTATAGGTTAGATATGAAACAGATTTTTGGAAAATGCACTGAAAAACAATTCAGTGAAAAGAAGAAAATATACCCCATGATTTAGGACTCCAAAAGTGTTAAGAAAAGTAGAAACATAAGCTCCAGTCTAAATTGTGAATAATCTCAGTGAGAATGAAGAGAGAAGAGAGCCATCTGAAGAACCATTGTGAGTACAAAGAGTTTTCCTAGGAGTTCAGCATTTTTAAAGATTTATACAAAAGATGAAAGACGGAGTACATTCCTCAAAATGAATGCAACGTTAGCAAAAGCCTACATGAACAGTGTTTGAAAAGCTAAAACCTAGAACAAACTGAAAGTTATATACTCCCCCTTAAGAAGCTGAAGGTTTTGGTTAGAAGTTGTGGTGGGATTGAGTGCAGGTAGTGATTAGCCTGGGTCAGGACCAGCTGCGTATTTGGGGGACCCAGTACAAAATGAAAGTGCAAGTCCCCTTGTTAAAAAATTATGAGTAGTTTTAAGATGGCGACAGCAGAGCAGTAAACCGAGCAAAGGGCCCTTCTGAGTGACTGCTCAGGTACACATTTAGGAAGCAGGCCCTGGGCTGAGGACATAAGACTGATCTAACCCTGCCTCGGCCAAGCCATCTCAGCTTCAAGGTTCTCAAGGGAGCCATGCAAGACACAACATATAGGATACTACACCAGGTACCCCTTCATTCTTAGTGGGTTCCTATAACTGTCTCTGCAGGGCTGTCCGGTAAACTCAGCTGCAGGACACAATTGAGGCTCAGGACAGAAATCTTTCTTCCAGGCAGGAACTGAGAATGCCTGAGGGTTTATGTAAATAGAAGCGAGAAAAAGAGCAAATGACTGAAGGCACCAACTAAGCTAGAGAGAAAAGCCAACTCTAATGACCTCTCCCTCTGGCAGAAGCATCCTGTTCACTATTTATGACTCCAGATCAGTAGCAGCCTCCTCTAGGAGGCGAACAAAGTTGGAGGTGAGAAAAGGACCTTCTCCAGTCCCCTCACCCCATCCTGAGGGAAAGGGCTTTTAAAAGTTCATTTGAATTGAAAAAGAAACAGAAAAAGCAGTATTCTTTGCTGCTTTTATGGAGTAAGCATAAATGCTGAGATAACAATAAGCAAGGAAAATAACCAATTGTTTTTCTTCTTCTTTTCTGTAAAGCTAGGTTTAGTAATCTGCAAAGTTTTAACAAAGAAAAAAATGGAAACAATAAAAGAGTGTGTAAGAGCATCAGATAATAATACAGATGTTTTAAATGAATTTAAGTGTCTGGAACTAGACAAAATGCATTCCTGGGATACTGTAGGAATTGGTACATGTGTGCTGAGTCACTGTAATTACTCTTTGAGGAATCGTAGGACGCGTACGGAGAAACAAAAAAAAACTGGGGGAAAAATCTCAAATTTTCACAAAAAGAGGAAAAAATTTAATTCTCAAACCAGGGACTGGTAATGTCAAACCCAAGTTCATGTGCCCAATGCACAGTGAGGCCAAACAAACCAAAATGTCGAAGTTTGGAGCAGAGAAAGGTTGGAGTTTGGGGCAGAGAATGGTTTATTGCAGGGCCAAGGAAGGAGAACAGGTGGCTGTGCTCAGAAGACCCAAACTCTTTGATGGTTTTCAGGGAAGTTTTTAAAGGCAACATTTGGGGTGCTGGCTGCAGGGTGTATGACTTTCTTCTGATTGGTTGATGGTAAGGTGACAGGGTGGTGCTCCAGGAATCTCAATCATCAGCCTTCTGGTTCCAACCAGTCTGGGATCTCAGTAAGTAGTTACCATCCTCTCCCTAGGTGGGGGCCTTAGTTCCTGTAGAACAACTCAAAGATGTGGGTCAGATTGTTGCATATGTCCCTTGAGGAGGAACTAGGGCTCTGTTTTATCACTGCATTATTGTTTCTTCACTGCTTTTCCTTTGTTCCTGCATTCCCTTACTTAGTAACTGCTTGAATCTGCCCTTTGGAACTCAGAGAAGGTGTAGCTGAAGGCTTGTTTTCCTACAAACAAGAAACGGGGAACATGAAAAGGCTTTGGTACCCAGGAGGGCCCTCCAACACATCCCCCCCCCCCTGCTCAATTTCACTAAATTTGAAATTTAAATTTTTGGTAAAATCATGAATAAACACCACTATACAAATAGTTTGCAAAGACTTATGTAAGAATGAAATGATGATAGAAGTCCTGTTATGTGTCTGTAAACAAATCTTTTCAATCCAGTCTGTTTTTAAAAGGGGGCATGGTGGGGTACAGTTGTGGTGGCAGATTGATTGAATAAAACAGAAATTACAGCAAAATGATGAGCAGAATCTGTCATATTGTTCTTGGGAACAAGATGAAAAAATGTTGACAGACGAATCAGCAGTTTGAACCTTCCAAACAGTGTTGATGAGTTAATATATCAGAGTCAACTTGTCTGGGTGGCATCTTTACAAGGGTTTACCCATCACTGTCTTATTTGGCACCTTTCTCAGTGTTAAAAAATAAAATTCAACCAAAACATTTGAAGATCTAATAGCCTTTATTAAGCGATTCATGAATCCAGCAGCATCCCATTTAGCAAGTAGAATCGCTCTTGGAGGAGTGGTACAAAATAGAAGGCTTTTATAGAAAGGATGGTGGAACAAGAAAGTCATTAGCAAAAGAAAAGAATGGGTCCTTTGGGACAAGGACTTCTTCTTAGGGTTGGGTGGGGAGTGGGCTGTGGTAAGCAAGCATCTTTATCATGCAGACTACCTTTCTTTCCTCTGGGGCGAAGTGGGGGAATGGAGAGGCCCCAGACAAATTACCTCTTTGGTATCATGGGCTTTAACACAAGTGATGCCATTTTGCGCCTGTGGTATTCTCTTTAATGTCAGTAATTTACATGTTGGCACAGAAAGTGTGCTTACAAGGTTTAACGATTATCCCTAACTAGAAGGGATAGTTAACACAATGGCTTAGCTAAAGATTCCCAACTATCTTCACAGCTGGAATCTCAATCCCAAATCAACAGGTTGACATTTTATCTAGAAAAAATGTAAAGAGATGTTTTTAGGTTAAAAAAAAATTGTGCAAATATAGGAAGGAGGAGACCAGGCTTGGCAACAACTCATAAAACAACACAAAACAAATAAAGATGTAGAAGGTTTGATTGTTTATGGGTTAAAGTGAACCATCTCTACACTCTAGCTGTTGAAAAAGCGCATATTGCTTTCGGCCGAATTATCAGAAACACAATAATCATTTATTGAGAGGGAGTTAGGAGCACTGACTCTGGAACTAGACTGTCAGTGTTCAAGTACTAGCTCTGCTACATTGGGTGACCTTGGACAAATTATTTAATCTCTTTGTGTCCTTGATCCTCCATTTAAAAAATGAGGGTAAGAATAAAGCACACTTAATAGGGTTCTTTTTGAATACTGAAAGATAATACATGTAAAACAGGGTAGCGCTCTATACATGTTAGCTGTTATTGTTCTGTTCTGGGCACTTTACAAACTCTGTTTGCATGTATTTGTGTGTGGCTTTTATTTAATTGCATGTATTTATTGAAAAATAAATATTAAATATTAAAATAGGACTAGGACTTCCCTGGTGGTGCAGTGGTTGGGAATCTGCCTGCCAGTGCGGGGGACATGGGTTTGAGCCCTGGTCCAGGAGGATCCCACATGCTGCAGAGCAACTAAGCCCGTGTGCCACAACTACTGGGCCTGCGCTCTAGAGCCCGCGAGCTACAAGTACTGAGCCTGTGTGCCACAGCTACTGAAGCCTGTGCGCCTGGAGCCCGTGCTCTGCAACAAGAGAAGCCACTGCAACAAGAAGCCCGCGCACCTCAACAAAGAGTAGCTCCCTCTCGCCATAACTAGAGAAAAGCCTGTGCGCAGCAACAAAGACCCAATGCGGCCAAAAATAAATAAATTTTAAAATATATATATTAAAACAGGACTGAAAGATATACACTGGGGGCTTCCCTGGTGGCGCAGTGGTTGAGAGTCCGCCTGCCAATGTAGGGGACACGGGTTCGAGCCCTGGTCCAGGAGGATCCCACATGCCATGGAGCAACTAAGCCTGTGTGCCACAACTACTGAGCCTGTGCTCTGGAGCCTGCGAGCCACAACTACTGAGCCCACGTGCCACAACTACTGAAGCCTGTGTGCCTAGAGCCTGTGCTCTACAACAAGACAAGCCACTGCAAAGAGAAGCCCGTGCACCACAATGAAGAGTAGCCCCTGCTCGCTGCAGCTAGAGAAAGCCCGTGCACAGCAATGAAGACCCAATGCAGCCAAAAAATAAATAAAATAAATAAATTTATAGAAAAAATAGATATACACTGAAAAATTCTTCCTTGATTACCAGACCTTCTCCCCAGAGATAAACCATTGCTCAGAGTTTCTTGTGTACCTTTCATTATTATGTACAAATGGATACATAAGACTACTATGTTCTGTAGCTTGCTTTTTCCCTCATATATACTGTGTATCTTGGAGACTCTCATATCAGCACTCATTGATTTACTCCGTTCTTTTTTAAGCTTCATAGTATTCCATTGTGTGAGGTACCATAATTTGTTTACCCTGTCCGCAAATCAGGGTCATTTATGTTTGTATGCAGTCTTCTGCTTTTACAAACAATGCTGCTGTGGCTTCTCTTATAGCTCAGATGCTGGAGTCAGATGGACTGGGTTTAAATCCCAGTGCTGTCACTTATTTACTCTGTGACCATGTCTTAGCTTCACCAGCCTTAATTTCCTCAAGTGTAAAATGGTGATAATAATAGTGCCAAACTCATGGGGTTCTTGTAAGGATTAAACGTAAAGCGCCTTAGTGCATAGTAAGCTCTCAACAAATATACAATGCTGCTATTTTTTAGTTTCCAACTTTATTTACATTTGAGTTTCTCTGTAGGGTGAATTTTTAGAAGTTGAATGGCTAGATCCAAGGGTGTTTATTTAAAATTGATAGATAACGTCAACTTGTTTCTGTGTTGGATAGTCTCTTTCTCCTCTAAACATACACTGCCTTTCACCACTCTGCTTGGTACCCCAGGAGGCTTACCTCCATGAAGACTCTTATCAGCAGTGTCTTTGCCCACCAACTTCCAATCAGGTTCCCTGTGAGAAACACCAGCACCAGATGGAAGGGCAGGAGAAAGGAGCTCCGGGCTTGTTAGGCAGTGGCTGCATTCCTTTTCCAGAAGCCTGTTTGGCAACTCCTCCGCGGTGGCTACCGCTCCCTCCTCTTGCCGGTTCAGGCCTGGTGGCAACCACTTCCTGCAGCTGCCTGTCTTTGGGTGCTTCGCCAACCCTGATACGTTCCCTCAACCCTTACATCTCTATAAATAATCTTTTCGTTAATCTTCCTTCAGTTACCTTCTTAACATGCCATCTGACTGGTACACTAGCCAATTTACACTCTCTCTAATAAACTGAGAATACTTGTTTTCCCACACTTTTGGCAATCCTGTCATGCCAAACGTTTTTTCAGCTTTTACTTAGCATTCACCCTTATTTCTTTATTTTTTCTGGGCACCGATGTTGTTATTTATCTTTTATCACAGATAGTTTTTCCTGTTGAACTTCAGTTTCTTAAAGGCCATTGCATAAGTATGATCTCAGTCCCTTCAGGTTGCTATAACAAAATACCATAGACTGGGTAGCTTATAAACAATAGAAATTTATTTCCTACAGTTGTGGAGGCTGGGAAGCCCAAGATCAAGCCCAGTCAGCTGGCAGATTCTGTATCTGGTGAGAACCAGCTTCCCAGTTCATGTGTGTCTTCACATGGTAGAAGGGGAGAGGGAGCCCTCTAGGGTCTCTCTCTCTCTTTTTAAAAAAAGTGAGGTATAGTTGATGTACAATATTATGTAAGTTTCAGGTGTACAACATAGTGATTCACAATTTTTAAAGGTTATACTCCATTTATAGTTATTATAAATTTTTGGCTATACTCCCTCTGTTGTATTATATATCCTTGTAGCTTATTTGTTTTATACATAGTAGTTTGTACCTCTTAATCCCTTACCTCTATCTTGCCCCTCCCCCCCTTTCATCTCCTCACTGGTAACCACTCATTTGTTCTCTGTATCTGTGAGTCTGTTTCTATTTTGTTGTATTCACTAGTTAGTTTATTTTTTAAATTCCACATATAAGTGGTATTGTACAGTATTTGTCTTACTCTGACTTATTTCACTTAGTATAATGCCCTCCAAATTCATCCATATTGCTGCAAATGACAACATTTCATTCTTTTTTATGGCTAAGTAGTATTCCATTATGTATATATACCACTTCTTCTTTATCCATTCATCTGTTCATGGACACTTAGTTTGCTTCCATATCTTGGCAATTGTAAATGATGCTGCTGTTAACATTGGAGTGCATGTATCTTTTTGACTTAGTATTTTTGGGTTTTTTTGGATAAATACCCAAGAGTGGAATTACTGAGTGATATGGTAGTTCTATTTTTATCTTTTTGAGGAACCTCCATACTGTTTTCCATACTTGCTGTACCAATGTACATTCTTACCAACAGCGTACAAGGGTTCCCTTTTCTCCACATCCTTGCCAACATTTGTTATTTTTGGTCTTTTTGATGGTAGTCATTCTGACAGGTGTGAGGTGATATCAGATTGTGGTTTTGATTTGCATTTCTCTGATGATTAGTGAGATTGAGCTTCTTTTCATGTGCCTGTTGGCCATCTGTATGTCTTCTTTAGAGAAATGTCTGTTCAGGTCTTCTGCCCATTTTTTAATTGGTTTTTGTTTTGTTTTTTTTTAACTTTAGTTATATGAGCTGTTTATATATTTTGGATATTAACCTCTAGGGTCTCTTTTTTTTAAATTTCTTTTATAAGGGCACTAATCCCATTAATGAGGGCTCCACCCTCATGACTTAATCACCTCCCAAAGGCCCCCGCCTCCAAATATCATCATGTTGGGGGTTAGGTTTCAACATATGAATTTGGGGGGGGCTACAAACATTCAGTGTATAGGAAGATAAATATTTCCTCAATATTGTATTAGTTAAGTTTTCAGAAGGCCAATTAAGATATCACAAAAGTCAACCAAAATTATTTTAAGAATTATTGGAGACTCTAATACTTTAAAATATTATATGCTATAAGGAATCGTTATAAATTCTGTTGGGTGTGATGATGACACTGTTGGTAGGTTAAAAATAAAAAGTCCTTATCTTGGGCTTCCCCGGTGGCGCAGTGGTTGAGAGTCCGCCTGCTGATGCAGGGGACGTGGGTTCGTGCCCCGGTCCAGGAAGGTCCCACATGCCGCGGAGTGGCTGGGCCGGTGAGCCATGGCCGCTGAGCCTGCGCGTCTGGAGCCTGTGCTCCACAACGGGAGAGGCCACAGCAGTGAGAGGCCTAGTGTACTGCAAAAAAAAAAAAAAAAAAAAAAAAAGCCTTATCTTTAGAGATATCCTCAAAACACTTATACGTGAGATGATATGATATCTATCTAGATTTTTTTTAATTTTTATTTATTTATTTTTATTGGAGTATAATTGCTCCAGAATATTGTGTTAGTTTCTGCTGTATAGTGAAGTGGATCAGCTATACGTATACCTATATCCCCTCCCTCTTGGACCTCCCTCCCACCTCCCCGCCCCCCTCCCCCCACAGATATCTAGATTTACTTTAAACTACTCCAGATAAATAAAAAATAGAGTGTGAGGAATACATGGACCAAGACTGGGAAAATGTTGATAACTGTTGAAAGTAGGTGGTGTTTCATTATATCCACTTTTTTCCATTCTATACCCATTTATTATCCCCACTCCTATTTGTATGAAAATGTTCAAAATAAGAAGTAAACAAATGGGAATTCCCTGGTGGTCCAGTGGTTAGGACTCTGCACTTTCACTGCTGGGGGCTGTGGTTCGATCCCTGGTCCGGGAACTAAAATGCAAGCTGTGTGGTGAGGCAAAAAAAAAAAGTAAACAAACAAGAAAAGCCCATAGCAATAACACAAAAAGGTAACTAAGAAATTCAAATAGGGGAAAGAATGGCCAGCACAGTCCCCAGGAAAGGCTCTCTAGCCTGCCTCAGCCCCTGGCTCTCAGCATCCGCCAGACCAGCCCTGCTCCGCCCAGGCGAGATAAAGGCGATCCTCATTTTCAGCACCCATGGTGCTGGGCTGCACCCTGCAGGCCTACAAGCCCTGTACTTGCCCATCCTTGAGAAGGAGCCGAGAGTCAGCGACAGAGATATCAGTGGTTAATGGGTAGGGGGATCTCACACGGTGCTGGAATGACACCCCAACTGTGTGTGGCGGACGATGGGCAGGACATGGCAGTAGTCTTCGTTCCCGGGGGAAGAGAGAGGTTACCAGTTACAGGGGGAATTGACTTAGGGTTGGCTTACCAGTTACCGGGGAAATAGCAGAGGGACATACCTCTCATTGCCCCTTTGATAAACTATCAAGGTGTAGATGTTCTGATCTAAGATAAGAACAGTGACTAGCTGGCGCCGGTGCAAGGATGTAGGAAGGTCAGTCATGTGAGTAGGGTGTAGGTGAAGCAGGCGCCGGTGGAGCAGGTAATGTACAGAGAGTGAGAGAACAGCCAGCTTGAGTGGCCTAATCATACACGTGGGAACTTTCCAAGTTCTACCAGCCCTATGCTAAAGATACGCAACAGCAAATCATCAGGAGACTTTCCATTTGGTACCTAAGAGAGATGAAAATGTAATTTCCTAGAAGGAGGATTATTAATTGTAGGATCTAATGACAAACTGACATGTAGACATTATATAACATTGTATTTTGTCTTCCATGTGGATTATTCAGAGAGTGAACTTGGCATTTTAGATCTAATTCAAGTATTTTGGAACATTAGATAAGTGTTTTTGAAAGTGTCTGTGAACTGGTTTTAATTTTCCATGTAGACAGGAATAGAAATGGTGATGGGAGTAATGATACTAGAGACCAATATGAATGAGATTATTACATAAATTGATGCACAAAATAAGCTGAAGAT